TAGTGATTTTAGCTATTGTAGCAAACAACCCTCAAATTCCAGTGTCATAAACCTGGTAAAGGTTTATGTTTTGCTTTAATAAGCTCAGTGAGGATCAGTGTGGTAGATGTGCTCCATGAAATCACTAAGAGACACGTGTCCTTCCATCTAATGTTGCTGCCATCCCTTAGCTTCTCAGAGTTTTATTTGGCTGATGTGTGAAAAACAAAAAGGAACTATAAATCACTGGAGGTTTTAAAAATCAGGCTTAAACTTAGCAGTCACTGCTTCTGTCTACATTCCAGAAAGTTACATAACCTTGTTTAGAACAAAGGGCGCTTGGAAATGTGAATTTTCTGGGTGTGCGAGAGGAAAATAACATGGTGAATATTTACCAATGCCTCCATCATAGTTAGGATGCTTGCAGTTGCAGTAAACTGAAAATTCAGGTTAAATAGGCTTTGTCAAGGAAAACTTCTCTAGTCTCTTATATTTGTAGTTAGGGGGCTGCAAATTACATTGACAAAAGATAGATTAGCAAGAGAAAAGATGGACTTAATCCCCAACAGTGTAGATTAGCTCACAAAGGAAATGTGCCTCAAAGGGAGGTTTAGAATTTGGAATTTATATACCATCTTAATAGGTGAGGAGCTTGGGGAGAGGGCACTTGAAGGAAAACAAAAGATTCTGGAAAAATAAATAGGTACTAAGGAGAATAGATGGGAGATAATGATAGTTCTTGATAAAGTCTATTTAGGTGTGTCAATATTCCCTGGTTGTCCCTTGGGAGGAGATTTATGACAATTCAATTCTTTTGGAAGGCTCTGCTTTTAGGCAGTAAGGGATTTTGGTAATTCAAATACCTTCAGCTAGAAATAATTGTTATGCCACAGTGGCTTATTTTGGACTATTCAGGTTAAACAGGAGGGAATTTGTCACCTCTTATAACGAGAAGTCTAGAGGCAGCATGGAGTTCATGCTGGAGGTTTATGGTGTTCTCAGGGGTTGACTTCTTTTTCCTGATTTATCCAGCTCTTCTCTGTTACATTTTGTTTTCACTTGGCTCCCCAATTGCAAACACACACACACACACACAAGGTGTGGTGGGGGGAGGTTGTAGCCTTTCTGTAGATTCACAATCTAATGCCACTTCACTTAAAGAAAGAACCAACTTACTTTTTTGCTCACAATAAAAAAAAAAATCAGTCCTGAGGTTCACTCTGATTGGTTTTTGAAATAAAAATTGGCTGAAAGTGTCAATAAAACAAACTTTACATTTTAATAAAAGATAGCATAAAATTAATTTATTGCAAGGGATTAGCCCTATAAGCTGGGAAGCTGAAGACTATAGGAGCAATGAGTTCCAAGTGTTATAGAGCAACCCCGATATTAAACGGGTTCCTGGCTGTGGGTCCTCACCCGCGCGCTTTAAAGGGACTTATGAATACTCTACTACAGACACACGCAAAAGGGTTAATAAAAGGTTTATTTACAAGAGAAAAGAAATAAGGAAAATGTACAACTCAGGGAGAAAATAGGGAAATAAAGTCTTTAATGCGTCCTACCCGATCCGACGACCTGGAAACCCCAAAGTCACTCTCAGAGCTAGACGGACGCCGCGAGCTGGCCGAGGGCCCAAAATGGAGAGAGCCCCCCAAAGCCCACGTGTCTGCCTTTTGTATCCACCTGGCTGCTTAACCCCACCCTCAGGTCCCAGCCACCTTCCCTTTGGTGGTGATGGGATTTGGAGTTCCCAGTGTCTTTGGCTTTGACCTGGGGTGGGGGTGGAGTCCACAAAGCCTGTATGGAATTTGCTTTGGGGCAGCCTTTTCCCCCTAACAATTCCCCCCTTTCACTTTTTGCCACCATTTCCATGGTGAAGATCAAATATATGGAGGTTGGGATGCAGTCTCAGATGAACGTTTTGTCAGGTTTCAGTGTGAAAGAAAACCAGTCTCTCCAGGTATTTGTCCATTGTGGAAATCAACCACGGGTGAAACGCAAACCACGTTGGACGCCAAGCTGTTATAGAGCAACCCCGATATTAAACGGGTTCCTGGCTGTGGGTCCTCACCCGCGCGCTTTAAAGGGACTTATGAATACTCTACTACAGACACACGCAAAAGGGTTAATAAAAGGTTTATTTACAAGAGAAAAAAAATAAGGAAAATGTACAACTCAGGGAGAAAATAGGGAAATAAAGTCTTTAATGCGTCCTACCCGATCCGACGACCTGGAAACCCCAAAGTCACTCTCAGAGCTAGACGGACGCCGCGAGCTGGCCGAGGGCCCCAAAATGGAGAGAGCCCCCCAAAGCCCACGTGTCTGCCTTTTGTATCCACCTGGCTGCTTAACCCCACCCTCAGGTCCCAGCCACCTTCCCTTTGGTGGTGATGGGATTTGGAGTTCCCAGTGTCTTTGGCTTTGACCTGGGGTGGGGGTGGAGTCCACAAAGCCTGTATGGAATTTGCTTTGGGGCAGCCTTTTCCCCCTAACACAAGCTGCTTACAGACTAAGAGGGATTCATGGGGAAAATAGTTATTTGGCTTTTCAATTGATTGGCTGCCTAATGGTCTTCCTTCTTACTCTTGATCACAGTAGCTGAATCAGATGAATAAAGAAGTTCAAAATGGTGTCAGACTTGGCATTTGTGGATTTGTTATAGGACAGGGACAGGGAGAGGGGCACCCCAGACCCCCACAAACCTGCCTATTCTAAATGGGTTCTGCCATCCGCCGCATCAACACAAAACATATGACACTTTAATGGGAAGGAACTTTAATAAAAACTAGAAAACAATACAGGTAAGGCAAAGAGTCTAGTTTCTAAATGAAGCACCCAAAGTTACCCATCCCCTCGTGGGTAAAACTCCATCCATATGGGGTCGGCCCAGAGCAAGGCCCCAAAGCCTGCCACAAGTCTAAAACATCTTCCAGTGGGGACCCACAGAAAAGGGTCACAAACAACCAGACAAGCCCGGAAGGAAAAGAGCAAAATCAACATCAAGATAAAAGCTGCCATTGTCACCTCCCCACAGATCTCACCCACATCTGTGTCACCCAGTCCACGACCAAAAGACAAGCGCAGTTTCTTTACGTGTCTCTAGGCTCCATGTGCCTCCTCCAGGTCTCCTTCTCCATCCTCCTTCCTTCCTCCGTCTCTTCCGCAGCTTCTCCTCTTCCTGCTCAGCTCCACCCTTCCTTGGGTGGGGCAGGGAACCTGGAACCTCCCCCTTTCCTGGGGACCACCCTGTTACAGATTGGCTGGTGTCCTCTGATGATTTCTAAGGAGAGCTGTAAATTCCTGTAAAGTTAGGTTAAATTTCCTTTATGTGATTTCATTGACTGGTTCTGTTAATGTCTTTGACATTAGTGATTCCATTTGAGTTTGGTTCTACAAAAGGGAAGTGAAAGTAATTTGGATAGGTTTTGGCTAGTTGGACCATTTATTCTCGTATTGGAAGGGAAGGGTATTAATATCCATGCAAAATTGCATTAGTGAACAAAATAGAGTTGTGGAATGGAAGCGGAGAACTTACCTTTAACTACTACAATTAGGGAAGAGTATGAAGAAGATCTCACTTAATAGAATGAGTACCATGAGGACACATAGGAAGCATGCCCAGCATATAAAGGGGCTGAAAATACAGTAAGTCAAAGGATATGAAACTCTATAAAATGATGTGGACAGTAAGGCATGAGAATCAAGAACGTGGTATTCTAGAAACCAAGGAAAGAGTTTTAAGAATGGAGTAGGTTAAGTAAATCATCCAGTTTATTTCTTAGGTGCTGATTCATTAGGTATCCTTTATAATAATTTGGCATCCTTTATATTTACTCATTAGCATTTTTTATACTCTGGTCTTTCACGAAAATGTTACTTCTGAGTGAAAATATGTTGGTTAGAGTTTTCTGGTCTTCATGGTAGCTTCTCATTATACATTAGCCTATAGTAAATGTGGTTGGCATAATTCACCCCCCGGGGTGTAAAGTAGCTCTGGCAGTTGGCAAGATTACCTTTCTACCTCTGTAAACTGAGAAAAAGGCTCTAGAAGGGTGAAATCTAAGTTCACTTTCATACTGTAACAAGCTTTGTTGACTTTTAGGAACTATATTTGAAATACCATAATTGAAGAATGTTTTAAGATTTTGAACCCCTAATTTTTCATGTTTCTTATTTTGAGTATTCTCTGTCTTTTCCTATAAAGCTCATCTGTAGGACCGCCAAGAAAGGGAAATATGGTCCAGGTGGGTCATGGTTATCTGCAGCAATGCCAGGTCTCTAGGGGGTGAATCAAATGGCCACTGGAGAAAATATTGATCTGGTAGTGGTAATCAATGAGGAAGCAATGGTAACGATGAACACTGGAGATAAGCCGGGTGCAGCCTGGATGAGAAAGAAACTAACTCGAAAAGACAAGAAAGAATTAGTACAATTCACACAGTGCATAAAGGATAGACTGCAAATCTAGCTGACTCGAGAACTGGACCATGACTGTCATTGCTCTTGAGAGGATAACTGGATCCGAGTACAGTGTTTAGCAAGTATTTTTGCTAGCAGTATCCTGGCAAGTGTTCTTGTAAATGCTTTTATTTTTGAAAGTTATTACAAGCATCCCAATAGCAGAGTTCGAAGACAGCAAAATGACCCAATCATTAAAAGACCCTGATTTTACTCATTTTTTCACCAGGCTTATGTCTTTGTCCCTCAGGCACAGTTTTTTGGTTTGTTTTTTAAAGGTGTCTCTGTCTAGACCTCACTCCACAAGCCTCAGAACTAGCTATTTCACGCAGGGAGGCCCCGGAACTCACGTTTCCACGCCTTCAGATTCGGTGCGGCCGGACGCCGGGACTCTCCCGGGCTGGCCGCCCGGGCCCTCGCCTTTGCCCGCGGCTGGCGCGTGGCGGGCGCCGCGGCCCTCGAGGGCCCGCGACACGGCGCACATGCCGCGCCGCCTCCCGCGTCGGCGAGAAGAAAGGGAGCCCGGACGCGCGGAGGCTGACCCGGAGCTTACCCATGAGGCAGCGCGCGGGCTCCACGAGAGCGCCCCCAACCCCCCTTCTCACGACTCGGCTGCCTGCTCCGCAATGGGAGCCTCCGCCGTCGCCGCCGTGTAGTTTTTCGTGCTCCTCCTTTTCCTCCTCCTCTTTCTCCTCCTCCTCAGGGCCCCAGTCAGGCCGATCCGCTCCGCTCACGGTAAGCGCCCCCCGCCCCCGCCCGCCCCGCGCTGCCGCAGGCTGAGGCCCTCCCGCGCGGCCTGCGCCGCCTCGCTCCGGGGGCGCCGGGCTGGGGGTGTCGATGCCGGCGCGGGTCACCAGGGCGCCCCAGGCGCGGGGGAGGGGACCGGCTGCGCGGCGGCGGCGGCGGCCTGGCCGCCATTTTGCGCCGGCCCCGGCGGGGGAGGGATCCCGGCGTGAGGCGGCAGCCGCCTCGGTGTGGCAGGCCGGGGCCGCGCAGGCCGCCGCCCCCCCCCGCACCCCCCCCCCCGCCGCCTCGGCGCCCGGGGCCCGCGCTCCCGCCTGTCCGCAGCTTGGTTCTGGCGGTTCTCCGAGCTGCTCCCTTCGGTCTCCCGCACGGCTGGTGCCGATGTTGGCGGAGACCCGTGTCCCTGTCACGACAGCCCTCGCCACAGTCTCTCCGGACGTAGCAGGGAGACCAAAGGGAGCCCCGAACTTTCAGGCTTGGGGAGCCCGGGCGCCCAGGTCCCCCCCAGTCATGCACACTCACGCCCCACGCCCGCCGAAGGGACCTCCCCGCCCCGCCGAGAAGTTCCGTTATTGTCTCCACAGGGCCCTGAGGAGAAGCGGGGAGCAGAGCGCCCATTTCTAACCGAGATTTTTAGACTTCACTTAATGGGGCAGGAAGAAGGATCGCACTGAGGTTTCCTACTGCCCCAGGGATGGAAGGCGTGCCTCCCCAGTCACCCCAGTTTGTAACGCTTTGAAGCAGAAATCTGCTCTGAGGGGAAACGTCAAAGTGTCCCCGCGCCTGCACGCGCGGGAGACCCTCGTCTGAGGGATCCGCTTTGATTGCAGAGCTGGTTTTTTTTTTTTTTTTTTTTTTTAAATTTTGTGAACAATGTTTGTGGCTTTCAGGTTTGGCTGGGTGTTATGTATGCCGTTACACATAAAATCGAAACTTAGGAAGAGAGTTTTAAAGTACAAAAGCCTCAGCATTTGTGAGGTGTCCTGCTTTTGGGGAATTTCTTTGCCAACTCCAGCCGGTTTGCTTAGAGACTTAAGTTAGGACTGTGTGCTCTTGATGTTTTAACATCTGATAGCCCCGATGTGTACCTCCTAACCTGCATTGCAATCGTCTGTGTTGATAGAAAGGTTTCGAAGGTGAGGAAACAGCCTCAGGGAGAGGGCTTTAATGAGGTCACGTGTCTAGGAAGTACTAGAGGACCTTAAGCCTTTTAATTCTTCATTCACTGCCCAGGTCTTGCTTTTGTGCGTGTGAGAATAAGCTGAGTGAGGAGAATAAGCAAAGAAACGCATCTAAAAAAATTAAGAAATGCCTTCTTTTACATTTCATTTGTCCCTTCTTTTACACTTTTATTTTTGAGTTCACTTTTTACCTTTCCAACTTTTTAAATAATCATTTTTTTAACCAAATATATTGAGAAGCTCCCTCCCCCCCCCTTTTTTTTTTTTACATTTTAAAAGGGCAGATTTATTAGGAAAAAGAGAGCGACACCTGCATAGTACGAGGAGGGCTTTCCTGCTGCGTTTTGCCAGTGCCAGAATGGTCCATTTGAACACACAAACTTAGCCACTGGTTTTAACAGTTGTTATTTTGCTACATTTGCTTTATCTAATTATCTCATTGTTTTTGGCTGAACGTTTTCAAAGCCCGTTGCAGGTTGCATGACAATTCACACCAAAATACTGCATGTGTATCAGAATGTATCTCTTAAGATTTGCTTTCTATGCAGCCACAATACTATAGTCACATTTAATAAATGTAAGAATAAACCCTGCAATCTAATATATGTCTGAAGTATATATTCACATTTTACTCTTGACCCCCAAATGTTATATTTTAGTAATTATTTTTTGGAATCAGGGTCCAATCATGAAATACATTTGTGTTTCTTTTAGCTTAGTGTAGGTCCCTTAATTTATTTTTATGACATGACCAAGCTAATATCCTTGTAGAATAACCCACATTCTGTATTGTACTGGTGGTTTCCTTCTTGTGTGGTTTAAGTGGGACCCCACCCCCTTCCCTGTATTCTGTAAATGAGATAAGACCTGAAGGCTTGAGTAGATCAGGGTTAGTATTTTTGACAATAATTTTTCATAAGTCATGCAGTATTCTTCACATTATTACATCAGAAAACAGGTAAACTAGGGTTATCCTATTAGTATTTCTGAATTTGATTTCTTGAATAAGGTGGTGACAGACTCCATTTTACCTGTAACTGTTTTCTTTGCAATTAGCAAAGTGCTATTTTGGCATCAGTATTTGGTATATATTTATTTGCAGTGATTTCATGAGCATAAGCAGGGGAGTTTGGAGGATAGGACCAACTTACCTAGTTTGGGGAACTTGGGAATTGCTACCAGTTGGCATCAGAACCTTGGATGACTGGGGAGAAAGACACAAAGTAGGTAGAAAGATAATGCCTCCTTTGAAAGTTTGCTTGGGCCTCCTATAGCAGTAGTGAACTATGATAAATAGAAAAATTCTGAGCTAGTTTGACTTTGGAGAACTACAAATTGTGTATCTACCCAGTCTTTCCAGTTAGGGTCTCTAGTACAGCCCTGCTTCTTTAGTACAGTATTTTCCCACTGAGCATTACCTTTTTTTCAGTAGGGGAGCGGAGGGCAAAGGAAAGAAGAGGTGCTCTACATTTGCTTTCTTTATTCAAGAGAACATTTACAACCATACCCAAATTTTTTCCCTATATGAATTGGATGGTGGAATAGCAATTTTTGTAAACAGAAAATAAACTATAGTTTTAGGTAACAGGAAATTAGAAATTATTGATGACTTTTTTGTTTCAAAAGTAATTTTTGAAAGATGAGAAATATTTATGACACTTGTCAGTTAAATATATAATTCTGAATAGTTTATCTGCTTCAGAGAGAAACCACAAACTTTTATTTTTCTGTCAAATTGTTTTAAAGACATAATTTATTTTTTGTCAGTCATTTGCATATCCATATAACTGTGGGATTACATTTTATGGCATGTTTGCATGAACCACTCATACTCCATCATTCCCTTGTCAGTGACTTAACCCCTTCCTTCCCCAGTCCCCAACTCCCTTTACCCTATTCCCTCTGGTAACCAGTATATTTTTTCCCAGAGTCTGAAGGTATAATGATTTAATTTACTTGTTAACTTCTGTCAAAAATATGTGTTTACAATTTTTATTCATTTCTGAAAACCAATTACCTTTTTTTTTTTTTTTTAATAGAGGCATGTTTTATTTATTTATTTATTTGTTTGTTTGTTTGGTTTTGTTTATACATGCACTGGGTACAGTCAGAAGTGCGGGAGGGTGAGAGAATTCACCAGAGCCAGAGCGGGGAGCAGAGCAGGCAGAAGGACTGAAGTACACTGCTGAGGGGAGCAGCGGGCGGCAGGAGAGGTCTGCGCGCCATGTGGGACCCTCCTCCGGTGGCCGGGGAGCAGCCGGGGATCGAACCGGCGCTGCAGAGGCTGTGGGCAGCTTCGCAACCCAGCGCTCAACCGCTGCGCTACTGGGGAGGCCTAAAACCAATTACCTTTTAAGGACTTGTTTAACTCTCAGTATACCATAAGAAATAGTATTGCTATGTAGCATCTCTATGGAAAGGAAATACTTCATTTTTTTTTTTTACATTTTAAATCATTTTATATAACTTTATGTAATTTAAGTCATTTTATACAACTTACAGAAGAATAAAGAAGAATAAAGAAAAAATAATGTAAACTACCTTATTAGAGGATTTTTCTTTTTAGTTTATCAGAGATTATTTTATTTTTTTTAAGATTTATTTATTTTTTTTACAAGAGCTGGGGATACAGCCAGAGGCGTGGGAGGGTAAGAGGACTCACTAGAGACAGAGTGGGGGCAGAACAGGCAGACCACGGATATACACTGCTGAGGGGAGCAGCAGATGTGACAGGAGCCATGTGGGAATCTCCCTGGCTGGCTGGGAATCGAACCCGCGCTGCAGAGGCTGCGGACAGCTTCACAGCACTGTGCTCCACCCGCTGCGCCACCAGGGAGGCCCCTATCAGAGATTATTTTAAACATAACAAACTTTTGTATATACCTGGAAAAAACTTTAAAAACACATATTTCATTACATATCACCCCTGAAGTGAATATGCAACACTTAAATGCTTTTGGCAAATATTCTTACTACAATTGTAGTACACATTTTTTTTTTTTAGGCTTTTTTGTTTGTGTTTTTACTTTTTTGTATCTGCACAAAGAACATACACCTTTATTATTCTTCCCACTGTGGGACCTATGTTAAAGAACATTGTGGTTAGACTGTAAGATAAAATTTCTCTTCCTAGTTCCTGCAAGTTCTTACATAGCTGCCTGAAAAATACTCTTGGTAACTTACAGTTTTATAATTGAAGCTTTCCTTATACAGTGAAAACATTCTTTGAGTACTAATGTCAAACATAGACCATCCGACTTTAAGTCATTTGTTTGCAAGTAAAGGTCTGTCCTTCTTAGTGAGTATACACCTCTTCAGTTTTTACATAATGCATAATACATAACTCTTTAGGTTAATTTATGCGAGGTCTTTAAATTTCATTGATGCTTGAGAATGCATTGAGCTGAGAAGACTATAGTTTTTGTTAAGACAGTAAGAATCTTCAAATACGTTTGAAATTCAGATTATGTGCAGTTGACTTCTTTTGCTTTCCACTTGTGAAAATTTGTAGTTCAACCTTGTTCTTCCTAATACTGCCAACTAAGGAAAATTTTTTGCTGGATACTAAGCTACATCTAAGGAAAGTTTCTTGGTGGATGCTCACTCAATTCTAAGTGCATAAAAAGAATTGTTATAAGTTGCCTTTTGGACAGAATTTTTAAATTATTTTGTCAGTTTTTGTAATTCTTGTGATACTGGTGGTTCTGTTCTCACCCCTTTTATGAATCTCTGTGCAGATCTGCATCTTTCAAGTTTATGATATTTCAGTGTCACATGTTGTCCAGATTTTTATTTTGTATCTTCCAGGTT